GCGTGGAAATAATCACAGCGTGGAAATAATCACCGCGTGGAAATAATCACAGCGTGGAAATAATCACAGCGTGGAAATAGTCACAGCGTGGAAATAAACACAGCGTGGAAATAATCACAGCGTGGAAATAGTCACAGCGTGGAAATAAACACAGCGTGGAGGAAAAGCGTTCTTAAAAAAGCATCACTTGGTTGAATATTTAAGTGCTGTGTTTGAATTATTTTAAGGAAGATTGGATTATTTATTTAGATCTTATGTACAACATTCAAGTTCATTTATTTATTTATTTATTTATTTATTTATTTATTTACTTACTTACTTACTTACATTTTCTTTTGTATTTTCTCTTTCTATTATCACAGAGCCTTGGAAATTAAAGCCCTTCTGGAGATTGAGTTTAAATACTCTTGGTTGAAAAAAGACATCATTATTCTGTGTTGAAACCAAGGCAGCATAACAGCAAAGTTTCCTACACTCACACACAAACACACACACACACACACACACACACACACACACACACACACACAGATGGAGAGAGTTTTATTGTAAAAATCAGCGGGTCCTCTGTGTTTCTGTGTCTGTGGTCTGTGGTTTAATACAGATGAATCAGATTTCCTCTCCGACTCGCTCTCAATATTTTGCGTAACCATAGAGACACTGCGTGGGGAACTCCTTCCTTCTGGATCTGAGTCAGGAGGGTTCCCTCGTCTCAGAACTTCTCCTCAGGGGCCTTTACGTAATTATCATACTTAAAGTTCTTTTTCCTTCCAAACATGTGAATTACAGGAATAAGGTCACGCACTGCACAGAATCTCCTTACAGGACCAAACAGAACCAAACAGAACCAAACACATCTAAACAGATCTAAACAGAACCAAACGGAACAAAAAAAGAAAACCTAGCAGAACCAGTCAGAAGCAAGCAGAACCAAACAAAAGCAAACAAAAGCAAACAGAATCAAACAGAATCAAACAGAAGCAAGTAGAACCAAACAGAACAAAAAAAGAAAACCTAGCAGAACCAAGCATAACCAAACAGAACCAAACAAAAGCAAACAGAAGCCAGCGGAACTGAAAGGCAGTAAAGGAAGGTGATCTTTATCTTTGCAGTATATTTACAGTGCGTTTAGCAGGTTATTTGTTATTTTATTCTTTATCACATCCTGCACTCTGAACTGAAACATTTCTACACGTCCACAATGAACCGCTCCATCTGTTAGATTTTTCCTTTTATTATTATTTATTATGTTTCTTTTTTAATCTAAAGCGACTTTGCTGTATAAAATAAACAGTAAAAACATTTACAAGAATTAAATTAATTTAAAAATCCAGTTAAAAAACACTCTATTAGCATTCTTTTTTTTTTTTTTTTAAAGAAATAAGCTGTTTGGTTGTTTCAGGTCTCCTGGAGAATCCGCTGTTCTGTATTTATTTATTTATTTATTTATTTATTTATTTATTTATTTATTATCAGAAATGTGGTCTATTACTTAAAAAAATACAAAACTTTCTCTGTAACATTGATTTATTTATTTATTTATTTTTATTTAAATGCAATGTTTGGAAATTGATTTTTTCTTTGCGCATTTTTTCCTTCCTGCTATAAATCTATAAATCTATAAATCTATAAAATAGGTATGCAGATTTATATTTAATGATTTAAATTAGAAATTAGAAACTATTACTTAACAAAAATACAAACATTTCTCTGTAACATTGTTTGTTTGTTTGTTTGTTTGTTTGCAATGTTTGGATTTCTTTCTTTTTTTTTTTTACTAGAGGCTGTAATTTATTTCTATCATATAGGTACAGAAGATAAAATTAATTTATTTATTTGTTAGTTAGTTTTATTAGAAATGTGGTTTATTATTTAACTTCTTTTATTTTTTTAATGCAATGTTTGGAAATTAATTATTTACTTTCCCCATTTTTTTTTTCATTTCTAATAGTAGCGATATATTTTTTCTAGAAAAATCAGTACGCAAGATAAAATCTAAATTTTATTTTATTTTTTTAGAGCAGAAATGTGGTCTGTTACTTAAGAAAACATTTCTCTGTAATGTTGCTTGTTTTTATTTGAAAGGAATCAAATATTTTCTTTCTTCTCGACTAGTTTCTTTCTTCTCGACATGTCTGCTAGAAAGTAGACATGTAGGCTGAAACGCATAGAAACGGAGAATTGTAATCTCGTCATGCCGATCTATTCTCCCACACGCGTTCCGCTTCATCTCCGTCTCCACCTTGTTTTTTCCGTCTGTACTAAATCACAGGAATGTTAACTACATGTTCTGTGCCACAGGTTCCAGAGTGTCGCATGAACATTTTTCCCACATTAATGGAATGCTAAAACACAAATCACTGAAACACCATCGTGACAAACCAAACATTCCTTTTACTCTTAGCTGATTTGTTTAGTTAGGAGAGTTCGTATTTATTATTGTTTTGATTTCTTATATATATGTTTAATGTTTTATGTAATCTTACTGAACTTTAATACTCCATTGCTGTTTATTTTAGAATTATTTTGAAGGTTTGATTTTCTTTAATGTGTTTATTTGCATATTGTAATTGACGTGTACATTTTTATAAACATTGCCAGATTGTATTTATCATTTTCATGTCAAATGTTTTGCTGCTGTTTGTATACGTTTTAATAGTTATTTTTATAATTTATTGTCAACACGCAAGACGTCGATAGAAAACGAGACGGTAGAGGACCGAGTGCTGAGCCCTGAGGGACACCATGTGGATCTCCTTCTTGAAACAAACGACTGGCATGTTGAGACACAGCGAATAAATTGTAATTGTTGGAAAATTGCTGTTGTATAAGAGAAATAAAACACTCAGTGACGTACACTCCGCTTCGTCACACCACCATGTCACTCGGTGTATTATTGTAAAAGTTCAAGAGTCACTCTTTGCATGCCTGAAGTGTTTAGTCATGAATTTTATTTAAGACTGTAGGAATTTTATTGCACAAATGTAAAACACAGCAGTATTATTTTTAGACAGAGAGAGAGTGTGTGTGTGTGTGTGTGTGTGGAGTTTTTACTTCCTCCTGCTTAGTGTCAGAAACTACAGTATAGTGTATATGTTAAAAACTCCACACAGTTGCTCACCTTCAGCCAGGGATTAAAAGAAAACGTATAACAACTTCAGAAACCAACATATTTTGATTAAATAGACCTCCATTTGTGAATTTCTCCAGTCGTTCCTCCGTACAATGAACAGATCATGTGTTCTAAACTGATACAAATACAGATATGAAGAAGAGGAGCACTATTTTTTTTCTGATGAATTTATTTATCTGCTGGTTGATGATTGTAGCGGAGTTTTAGACCCAAGCTCGCGTGTTAGATTTTCCCTGATGAAAAATGATTAACTTGTATGTTCATTGCTCATATTTCTCGTTCTTTATCGTTGTTAAATGAAAATCATATGGACGCTATCATTAATTTGTTGTTATACAGTATATTGTCTTTTTCCAGTGGTCCTGTGGCACAGTGCTCGGGTTCTCTCTTCGTTTTTTTTCACATTTTCTCCTTAAATTAGTTTTGACGAATTCCCGCCCACCAGCCAGCGCTGCCCAATCATAAGACAGCTAGCAGTCGGTGAAGGTGAAGGCTAACACATGCTTCCTCCGAGACACGCTTACTCCAAAGCCGCCATCTTTTTATTGAACTGCTGCGTCACAGGGCGGCGTAACATACTCAGAGGAGAGCGCTATCTGCCCTCTTCCACATACATGAACTCACAGACGCACACGATTGGCTGGTGTTGCTGTGATTGACAGGGGAGAGATAGTATGCCCCTCCCACTCAGAGAGGATTTACATCCACTTAGGCCACACCCACTTCTGGTTTATATCTGAATACAGGATGGAACTTAACCATGAATACACACAGTCTAATGAAAATCTATATTTTGTACATTGACTCTGTTTAAATATAATACTCTTCACTGATTCATCTATAATACAGTTTATTTTATTCTATTAATATCAGCGTCATCTCAGTAAAAAAAACCTCAAAGAACACAAACTGACTCAAACACCATGACAATCAGGTCAGGAAGATGGGTGTGGGGCATAGAAGGATTTTAATTACCTTAATGAAGTGCAATTTTAATGAACTTTTATAGTCTTGTGTTAAAAATAAAATAAATAAACCCTGATTTTGTTCTGACTTGCAATTTTGGAGCGTTTGTTCTCAGCACAGCAGTGAATTTTTGAAACCGGTGTTAGGTTTAAAAACTTCGTTACTGCTGATAGGAATCAGATCCTGGATAATGTTCTGTTCAGTTCATGTGTCATCATGTGGAACCAAACAGCACTGTGAGCCAGGCATAACACTGACACACACACAAACACACACACACACACACACACAGCTGAAAAAGAATGGTCTTGTTTATTTACTGAGTTACACCAGTGACCTTAATGTATTCATTTTTTGTTCATGTTTCAATCCAGACTGAATTTTCTCGAGACTCGAGTCAACACGTGACTCAAGTATGATACGATAAACGGTCCTGTCCTGCACCGAGCACCGTTTCTCCTGCAGTCTCCCGTCTTTTGTTTTACGTCGCTTTCCCACCTAGTTAGTCTGTGTGTTGACTCTGAATCAAAGTATCAAAGTACATTTTTGTTTGTTTGTTTGTTTGTTTGCTATTTGGTTCGATTTCTCACTGCACATAATTAAACCCAATAAACCAAAAAAGCCAAAAGAAAAAAAAAGTTGTTTGAGAAGCATGTAGAGTTGAATTGGTCAGAAATACAGTGGCAAAAAAAGAGAAACAAACCTTTATCAAGTGTGTGGAGAAATCTCTGAAATCTCCGAAATCATGTTAAACTCTATGTGAATTCAGTTCTCTGTACTGAAAACCCTAACGAGTTGACTGGACTCAACTGACTGAGTAAACTCGTTCTCTCAGCTTAACTGAGTAATGGAGTCTCCCAAACTTGTATATTTAAGTTCACTTCACTTGGTGTTCATGTAGTTTACTGACCGTGAATCGAACCTGGGCCAGGGCGGTGAGAGCGCCGCACACTAGCCGCTAGTCCACCAATAATTAGTGTACTGAAATAATTAAGTTCACTTAACTTGGTGTTCATTTCAAGTGTACTTAAATGAACGCTTTTTAGTAAAATGTAACTTTATTCACAAATCATCCTCTACATGATTCTTTGTAAACACACACAGCGTCGTCTCTCCTACTCATGATCATCTCTAGGACTTCACTACACCAGTACCAGCAACAGACCAGACGAAGAGCACCGCCTTCTGCAGTTATCCACCAATCAGAGCGTTAGTTCTCTTGTTGCCAGGCGGAACGCCTCACATGGCCAATCACATCAAAGAAAGACCAGAATGAGCTATTTTAATGAATGATGATTTT